ATTTTCAATAATGTTAATGATAAAATTTCATCCTAAGTGATAAGTAAACAGTCGAAAATTCAAACAGTATGGACTAAATTACTGGTCCTCACCTCCGGTAACGAGGTGAAAAAGCCACGGGAGGAGGCCGGCGAGACCTCGGCGGAGTAGATGGGAGGGAGGACGAAAGCGTATCCGACACCGAGACCGGCAATGAAACGGCCGAGCATGAGGGAGGCGTAGCTGGTGGCAAAGCCCATGAGAAAAGCTCCGGAGAAGAAGATGACGCCTGCAAGAACCATGGTGTAACGGCGGCCGATGAAGTCGGAGGTTCTGCCGGCGAGGGCAGCGCCGATTAGGACGTAGAGGTTGATGACACCCACAAGAACTTCCACCGCCACGTCTGAGATTTTGAAATCATCTTTTATGAATATCACTGCTCCATTCATTGCACCTTCCTCTGTTCTTCGAACGAATCAAATTATTTTCTTGTGAAAAATAGAGCGTGAAAAACAGAGCGAAATTTCTCACCGTAACCCAGTAAGATGGAAGCCATGGAAGCCAAAACGGCATACATAAAAGCATATTTGTTTCTTCTGGGCTTCTCCGGAGGCGGAAGCCCAGATTCTGAAGGAATTTCCCGGCCAGGCTCACCGGAAATTGCATAAGCTCCATCTCTCCGGTTGCCCGTCTGCATTTATGACTTTTCGAGACTACAAAACTGAATCTGTACATTAAATATTATTACTTTTCAATTAGAAAAAAAAAAAAGTATTTGTGAGTTTGAAGTTTGTTGGTACCACTACATGTTGCTTTGACTCAGTCTAGAATAACTCGGTCTTTGCTTGAATAGTCATTCTATATTTGAAACTATATTTTACATTACAAAAATTTACATATAATTTCAAATTTGATTTTTCAAAATTTAAACCCTAAAACTGAATAAGTTAACAAATGTCATCTTAAGTTAAATAGGTTACGATATGAAATGATTTTATATATTAAATATATATCACTATTACACTACAAGCATAAAACCATTACAATCTCTCTTTTTCTCTTTCTAATTTTCCACTTTGTGCCCTTTCTATTTTCCTTTGCTAAACTTGCCCATTTCTCTCCAATTGAATCTGATCACCATTCTTCTTTCCATTTACGACGTCGTTTCTATCCCTTTTCCTCTCTTTGGAAAATCTCCATAGCAAATTAGCCCCTCCATGTCCTCCAAAGTCCTCCCTTGCGTCTCCGGAAACAYGACGTAGAAAAACACCCAAGAAGTCGCCGCTATCCCCGCATAGAGGAAAAACGCGCCGCCGATCGTAATCGCATTGGACAGGGACAAAAACGTCATTGTCACCACCCCACTCGTCACTCGATTCACTATCACTCCCGCACTCGCCCCTTGGGCGCGTAGCTTCAACGGGAAAATCTCCGAGCTGTAGACCCACGCGATGGGACCCAT